TATTCCATTCAAGGATGTCTCTGGATTTGACCGTGAGCTTTATGTAACTTGACCGTGAGGGACTCGAACCGCACCCTTCCCTATCTGGGCGAATGCACTGACCATTATGCTACGCGTCCCTGACGGCCGTGTCGAATTTTCCCTAGTCTTTCTTAGGCTGCAAGGCAGCGCCATCTCTTCGTGCGTTTAAACATCTAGCAGTTAAATGCTTAAAAAATGTAAAATATGAAAAAGTAACTTTCAATCTTCACAGTCACTTCTTATCCAACTAATGATCTGATTTTTTTTTTCACTTTCAAAGCTACGAGTATAATAAATGCATGCGCAATTACAAATGCGATCATCAATTATAATAAATAACTTTAAAATCGATCGATCGATGAGCAGTTTTTGGCTAACTTTTTACACGGCGATGATGTAACTCCACATAAACAAACGCACGATCATGTAAATATTTCAAGGAAGTAAGTTGGAAACCAGTTCTTTTTTAAGGTCCTGAACCGAAGGTGTTAAAATAAGCCAATATTACTTAATTATATTTATTCCGTCCACGTGAACTATGAACTGGGAAACGATAATTCTTTATTAATATGCGATGGAAAAACTTTCGTACGCAACGGAAGACTATGATGTTTTGTTATTAATGTAAGTGTTTATATTAAAGAGTGCAGAAAACTGATCAACAAGCAAATAGATTGAATGAAAGTAAAAAAAAATAGAACGAGTACAGGTGAATATCTCGCTTGCAAAACGTAGATATACGAGTACGTTGATAACGTAGATAACCTGGGTTTCAGGTAAATCTTAAGAATTTCAATCAAGAGTAACATTCTATTTAATAGCATTATGTTTAAGTACAATAACAGCGAAACACAAAACAATAAGCAACCAAAACTTGGTCTGTATCCAATCGCAAAATTTCAAACAAAACAGCTGAAACAAATACCTGATAAAAAAATCTGGAAATCAGGACCGCTCGCCATGTCCACTTTTAAAATATGGAATTCTGTATCGAAAATTTGACATTTATTCAATGGTTAGCGTTTTGTTTTCAGCGCATTTATGTATGTTTTTCATCCTCATGAATAACGTAAAAAATTCGAGTGAATGAGTACCGTCGTGGCAGCAAATTGGCAACATTAACGAAACACAAAACAATTAGCAACCAAAACTTGGTTTGTACTTGTTCGCAAAATTTCCAACAAAACAGCAGAAACAAACACTTGATTAAAAAAAACTGGATCTCTGGGAGTGCGCTTTACAATAAATAATTAAATAAAATTTTCCAACACTCACACCAATTAACCTAGCCCCAAAGTAAGCACTGTAAGGCTTGTGTTATGGGACACTAGGGTAATTGATAGAATACATATACAGTACATATATAAGTATATTCAGATGGAAATACATATTAAACATCCATGACTGGAGTACAAATGCTCGTATTCATCACACAAACATCTGCCCCCACCGGGATTCGAACCCGGGACCTCTCAAGAGGCGACACCTTGAAACCCGGCGTACAAACCACTTGGCCACGGAAGTCGACAAATTTGATATAAGGTTTTTATAAGGTGGAGATTTGAATAAGGTGGCTTTCAAGACTGCTCTCCCTGCCCGTCAAATGCCCCACGACTCATGATATTTAGGTTTATTGCTTTATAGTATCTAATTTAATTTTCCACTAAAACCATTCCATTTATAATATCAGTAGGATTTATTTTAGTGTTGTTCGGCCAAAAGTCCTGCGCCGAAATTCTTTCAATGAACAGAGGTTAAATGGAAACTAGTAAAAAAAAATATATGGAAATATTGTTAAGTAAAATATATGCAATATATTTATTGCATTTTAGCGCATATATTTTATCTATAAATAACTATTTCGTTAACAAAGAAGATGTAACACACCTCGCCTCGCAGTGAGTCACACAAATGCGGATTTTATGATTCTCCAATAAAGGTTCTAATCACAAAAAGATGCAAAATTCTTCACGGTACAACAAATCATAATAAATACTTGATTTTGTAAAATTTGCATACTAACTACATGCAAAACTAAATGGCCAAGGTCAGAAGTCAAGCCCGTAGAATATGTTTCTCCGGTTTTTTTCCGACTACCTTACCATAGGGTTAACAAACTAAACATAATTTTAATGAGAAAGTTTAGTTTTAAAGACGTAAGTTTGATACTTTACCCACCACCGACGACTAACGAAAAGCAAGTAGAACTAGAAACGATTTGTCGAGCAGTAGGAAGCGAGTGTGTATTTCTGATAGTTGTATCGCTGGGATATAAGCGAGTTTGCGAGAACAACGAGCGATTGTTCCCGCAACGCGCTCGTGGTCACAGTCCTGTACCCTTAGTACGAGTTTTACAATTACGAAAATTATGATAATTTTCGTGAGCTCGCACTCGTACTAAGGGTACTGATTTTATTGTTTTCGTTTCAAAACAAATAAACAGTGTTTAAATTCTATCATTAAATCATTTGCGTCTTCTTAAATTTTAAGTATATTTGGCTACTTTTCATCAAAATGGACATAGAAACATAATTTACAATTACGAAAACTATGATAGTTTTCGTGAGCTCAAACTCGAACTAAGGATACTGAACAAAAATGCACGCGCACGCATTTTGACGGCTAAGCGATCATCGCTGAGTGAACTTGTGGGTGGAGCGACATCTCATCGGTAGTATGAACGGCCAGCGATCAACTATTAATATATGTATCTCTTTTGTTTATACTGAACCTATATCCATTGTACGTTTCTTGAGCGAGTAAATAGCCTAATCTAAAAGATACTAATCGCTTTGCGCAGCGGTGGCATCAAACATGTACCGTAATTTCATAAGCATTTTTAAAGTAAATGTTTGCGGAAGCTCCGTTGGTCTAACGGTGACTTTAAAAACTGCAGCAGCAGAAAAAAACATATGTTTAGTTTTTCAGTTTAATAACTTTTTCTTTAAAAGTTTGTTAATTTTTCTTCACATAAGAACTTATTACTTTTGTTTCTTAGATAAGTTTCGAATTTTCACATGCCAGCCTACCCGCGATGCCTCACCCAGCAGACAATCTTTCAATTAAGAGCCCTCTTACAAAATTGCGCCGCTGCCGTACTGATCGGCGCGTAGGTAGATTTGCACTAGTATATATTGCATATAACGGGTGATGTTTCCAGTCTTATAAAATAATTATTAATAAACTAATTATAAAAATATATAGATATTTCAATAGTTCAATGATGGTAGATTAGTTTTATGAACGTTTTTGATAGTAATTCTATTTAATTCAATATCAAAATACGAGGTAAACCCGCATTATTTTTTGAGAAAACTCACGGAGGTTAGATTTTTTTTTTTGATAATTAATGAGAAGGAAAATCGAAATTATAATACATTATGTTACAACAAAAACATATTTCTGATGTCGTAGTAATTAATTTGATCTAATTTATTGAACATTATTGAGAGATTGAGGCGTTTCAAGTTGTGATTATTATAGTTTTTTCCGTAAACTAGCTGCGGTAGAACGATCAGTACAAAAAATGGAAAATAGTATTTGCAAATATTCTACATTAACTTACAATAGGAAGAATAAATAAATCTACTGTTTACTTCTATTGGAAATAGTAAAATCTTTTCAAAGAGGGTAAACGAGGTGCTCAAAAGTACGATTTTTTGCAAAAAATGCGAAAGAGCTCTTAGCCAATAGTTTAATTAGGGCCATATTACTTAGCTTCATGCTGCTTCATCGTCTTCGAAAAATAACTAGTTATGTGTACAAAATTTTAACCTCCTATTTCCACTAATTCAACCTACATTTTCACCAAAAAGTATAGCATAGCTCACAAAGTGGTAAAATAAAATGTTGACAAAAAACAAGGTGCCTCTCCGATAAGTAAAGTGGGGATGCTAACCTCACACTATGGGGTAAACAAGAAATAAAAGGTTTTTTGGTAGGTCCTTGAAAAATATTGAGAGTATGTAAAGACAAGACAAACTTTCGATTGAATGATTTGCTAACCCAACTTTTCACCGCGGAATCCGCATATGATTTAGAATTAGAATACAACTAGCAAACCAGTGAACCAAATATTCACCAAAACCTGATTTCTCGAAAACCGGAAGTGCTACGTTACTCAAATCCGGTTTGTAGTCTTATCAGACTATTCTTAACTTATAACTTAAATATTCTCTTTATCTATCTCTTACGGTTTGGCCGCTGAAACAGCACCACAGACGGACGGACTTGTCTAATAGATAAGAGATTTTTAAATACCACCGCGGATTCCGTGATGAAAAGTGAGTTTATTCTTAGAGAATTGCAAGGAAGATTTTTAAATAATAGGTCTTTACCCACGAAATTGCCATACTGCCGTACTGGCTATTTCAAGTCCATTTTTTTCTTTTTTCGCTAAGAATTATTTTTATTTATAAAAATGTTTTTTTTTAATTGTCATTTATTTAACGGTTAGCGTTCTGTTTTCAGCGCATTTCAGTACGTTTTTCGTCATTATGGATACGTTAAAATTGTGAGTGATTTTGGAGTATGAGTACCATCATGGCAGCAAAGCGGCAGAAGCGGCAAGCAGCACGAACGACGTATATCTACGGAGCGAATACTTATCGATCGCACCACCCGTCATTGGTTTGCCCGCTTCCGTTCTGGAAATGTCGACCTAAAAGTTGAACCCCGTGGTCGACCGAAATGTCTTTCCTCACAGCTTGAAGATATCATAAATCTGAGTACATGGTTTAAATTTCAACTCACACCTCTACGTGTTTCCGAAATAAAGGTACTTGACAGACAGACAACAACATGATCCTATAAGTTCCGGTCTTTCCTTTTGAGGTATGGAACCCTAACCCTAAACCCTAAATCCAAATAAAACACAATGGGGTTTGTTTTTTTCCAGCTGTTTGTCGCAACACCCTTAAATTATTATTCATATTTTACTATAAATTTAATAAATGCTTATAATATAATGATGAACTTACCACAAATTTTCAGTGCGCCATCCAAAACAAAACATTCAAACACTTCACTTCTATACACACAGCACTTCACTTTCATGTAGAAAAATATTCATAAAGAAAAGTCTGAAAACAATACACGAAGATTTCGAAACGAGCGGAAAACAAATTTTTGAGAATAGGTCACACGTCAGCTGGACGCGTACAGCATTTCGGTCTATAATCCGTGGTGATAAGGGTGTAGGTCGCAAAGAGCGCGATGAGCTGAGATGCGCGCGTGTATACTACGTGGTGTGCGCGGCTAGTTTGCGCGCGCGCGCACCTATCTCCTGCCCACCGACGGCCTTAGAAAGAAGTGACATGGAATTCTGGCAAAACGGCAAGTTTCCTTTTTTGAAAACATTTTAATGTTCTAAACTCAAACTTTGAAAAGGTCAAATAACTCAAATGTCCGTCTGCCAGCATTTATCGATGTTTTATTTTTCAAATCATATCTATACTGGCTTACGAGTACCAAGTATTGATTGGAATTATACGCGTACGTTATTGCACGTATAAGGTCAGTATAGTATTCTATCCGATAATTCAATTGGGGGATGAATAAATACGATATTATAAAAAAAAAATCTTCTTCTTCTTCGTAAATATATTTCTGTATTTGAAGGAGTAGGAATGTTGACTGTTTTTCTTTCTTTCAGTAGGTACAAGAATCATCGGCATGGTGGATTCCCAACAAGGAGCCGCCGTCTTCACTATCAACTAGTTTTAGAAATTATTTTATGTTATTATAAACAGAAAATCACATTAACTATTGAGATATGGTTATGGACGTACGTCCTCAGGCACGGTAGAATGACAATTTGCGCAAGGTGGCTGGCAGGAGCTGGATGCGAGTAGCCCAATACTGATCTCAGTGGCGTACAATTGGAGATGCCTATGTCCAGCAGTGGACTAACATAGGCTGTTGATGTTGATGATAATTATGGTTATCAAAATATTCTTTACGCATGTATCCATAGCACTTTAAACATGGTCTACTAACTCTACATTCATGTAACTTTCTGCTAAAAAGTACATTTTGGAAATTTCTTTTCAGACGGTTTGGTGGATGTAGCCTGGTTAAGCGAAAATTTACCGTAACGACCTAACGAGGCAGTTAGCTAGGCAGCTGGGTGGGTAGCCAAGCTAGATGGGCAGCGAGGTGGGCATACACTGACGGCGGTGGTTGTGGACTTCGATTAAAGCTTTGTTTGGTGCATGATGGACCGGGAGCAGTGGCGGCGGACCGGCGGAGTCCGCACTCGTCTCATACCGCACTGGGCCCTGTACGGATTGGTGGGTAGGATACTTTTTCAATGGAATAAAATAAATAAATATATATTTCCAACACTGCCAGCCCCAAAGTAAGCAGTGTACGGCTTGTTTCATGGGATGCTAGGGATAGAATATATATACTGCAGAAAACTGTGTTAGAAATACATATTAAACATCCATGACTGGAGTACAAATGCTCGTGTTCATCAAACATCTGCCCCCATCGGGATTCGAACCCGGGACCTCTCGAGTCGGCGACACCATGAAACCCGGCGTACAAACCACTCGGCCACGGAGGTCGTCAAATATCGGAATAGGGAGATTAGGCCCGACTCGCCAGGCCAGGTGGAATATAAATATTTTTAACTTTGATCCAACCGAGTATTCCACGAAACTTACGCATTTTTTTATTTCATTACCATTTCAACATACATTGAATTATTACACAATAAAACTATAAAATTTAAAAAACAAACCAACATACTCATTTAATTGAATTATTAAACAAGAGAAGTTACAATTGTCAATAAGAGCGCCCTCTAGCGCTGAGCATTACGGAGATATCACACGTCGGTTCGACTGACCTCAAAAATTCGACACCCACGAAATCTTTGCATATGCTTATGAGATTTATTTAAACACCTCGTTGCTGCCAGTGTTGTGTAATTAACCGTGCTTACTTACGGTAGTGTGTTGCCACAGAGGGCGCATCGCATGTACGACAATGTTTTCCCTTCCAAAAACTGCTAAACTAGAATACTGTATGTTTATAATTGTAATTTTTAAGCATTTAACTGCTCGATGTTTAAATCTAAAGAAAATATTATTAGAAAAAAACCATGCGGACCAGGCAGCAGACGGGATTCGAACCCGCACCTTTCGCTATCCTGGCGAATGCTGACCAATTATGCTACCGCGGCCCTAATCGCCGTGTCGAATTCTTCCTAACTGCAAGGCAGCGCAATCTCTTCACATTGTAGGTAACCCACAATGTTCGGGTTCGAGTCCCGTCTGCTGCCTGGTCCGCGTGGATTGTTTTCTAATAATATACTGTGTGTTTGTTTAATAAGAGAGGTATATTCATTTTCCGCTCGAATCTGAACCTTTCACAGACGGGCTGTAAAAGTTCTTTGATTATATACACGAAGACATCATATGAACTGCACGGAAGCAGCCCAAAAATATCTACTACATAGATATGTTCGTCGCTACACACGCACACATTGACTACTTTCAAACAATCTGACATTAGAGTCACGCACACTTTGTGCGTAAGTTGAGCCGTTTTCTTTCGGATTGCTCTATCTCGGCGTGTATATAAATCAAAGCCTAGTCCTAATAGAAGACAACAGTAAAATAGCACTACCATTTCGTGGTGATGTATTTTGTCGGCGAATAAGGTTCCAAGGTTCCATGGGGTAGACGATTGGGCAATGGTGCGAGATATTTTTGGTATCGCATGCGTCTATAAGCAGCTTTCCACCAAGAGGGCCACCTTTTTAACATTAAAAAAATATGGGTAGAGTCTGTGCGGAAAGAGAATGGGATTTAGATTGGAGGGCGCTGTAGTGCTTTTCTACCGTATTTCTAAGGTTTTACCCCTTTTAAACATGATTAAATACAAAAAAAACCGCAAGAAATCACAACAAACAAATCCGTATCAATAAAAAAACTTTGACGTTTTATGGATTGCTGGGTTTGATTGCCAAATAAAAATCTTAATGTTAGTTCCGTTTTTCGCCACGCCCATTCTCTTTCCGCACAGACTCTACTTGTATTTTGTTGCGTTAAAAAGGGTTGCAAACACTATCTCCCGTATTAATAAACATAGACTAAGCTTGGATTAGTTAGTCCATGTTTTGTGTCTGACAAACACTTCATGACAAATAGCACATGAGTGATACGAACAAAACACGGCGTAACGTAGTCAAATCATATTACAAGTTTATTAATAAGAGGGTATATGTATACAGCTACGCGAGCCAATTCAATGTTTTTAATATATTTTTAATTTTTACTTCAATAAAAATTCAACATTGTTTAATAAGTTGAGACTATTTAAAGCCCAAAAGTCACCGCAAATCTACGGCGATAAACTCAGTAAAGGCTACGCTAAACTAGATGTCATTTCAATGTCTTGCCGGTTCTTCTCAGTACAAGGTCTCCCGCCGTAGATTTGCGAACCGATGGCGTAGCTTTTCGACATTCACAAGTGCTTGTAACAGCCTAGACTGAATAAACGATATTGAATTTTGAATTTTGATTTTTTTTTAATTTTGAATAGTGAAGTAATTAGTATAGAACAAACGCATCTCCGCTGGCAGCGCACGTTCACGAGCATGACACATGAACCAGCAATGGCTTTACTCAATCATTTTGGAATGTACTCATCAATACTTTCAATTTAATAAGAAATTAAATAGGTTGATGGTTGGTTCTCTGGGTAGGGATACCTATAATACTGATAAATACAATTTAACATAAACTTTTTAAGAATGCAACCTTCCTCCGTTATTGTGATAAGTAGTATATCTTTTGAAAAAAGTTTGAAGAAAAATCAATGTCTAATCTAAAATTTGGCAATGATGAAACAAAACGCCGTCAAAAGTTCATCTAATTTTAAAATAATTATTGACAACATCCTATGTTTGCTTCGATCAATAACAAATTGATTGAAGTAGGTATTATTGACGTTAATGTTTACCTACGCACAATATCGACGTCTCATTACGGAATTGTCCGTGCGATACAGACACACTTTCATCGGCTCATGCACCAGCTCCATCCATAATTGTTCGCTTTCGTTATAATTGGCTGACGATAATAGCCCGCGGCTTCGGTTGCCTCATTTGCCATAAGGTTCCGTGAATCCGTGGAATGTCAATGAATTTCATGTTTTATTAGGCTTCTTCTTCGAGAAATCATTGATACGTAAGGTTACTTGAAATTAAAAAAAAAACTTGTGCTCGGATCGGAAGTGAAAAATCTTTTTTTAAATAACCTAACATTAGCCGGTTCATAAGGCATAGGGGAATGGAGCAGCGCACGCATCACTCATATGATATGTGTAAATATATATATATATATATATATACTAGTGGCTCGCCCGCGCTTCGCTTCGGTGTAGAGCTCTAGTGTAGATTTAAATGACTCGTCATATAAGTAATTATAAAAAAACTGAAAATGGTATATGTGCCTTTTCCAAACTTCTATTGACATTACGTCGCTCAATTGTTTTGCCTTCCCAGAATCTCTCCACTAACATTTGAAATTTATGGTATGATATAGTATAGAAAAGTGTTGTTTTTGGACTTTTCAGGCATTTTTTTTAATTTTTCTCTGCGTAAGAACCATCCTTGTACTTCATAATATTTCAGGAATATTCTAAAAAAGAATTATCGAAATCGGTTCAGCTGTTCTCGAGATTTGCGCTTGGCAACACATTCAACGATTCATTTTTATATTATAGATTGTTACGTGTGACGCTCGTAGCGTTTCAACCTTCGCCGAATTACCCTCCAACTTTCATGCCGGCCTGAAAGAGCTGCGCACGTATTCCACACAAACACACACACATATATTATACACATATAGCCGTGTGACACTCGTGACGCATTGCTGAGTCATCTTTTCCATAGAATTTTTCCAGGACTACCCATCCGTAAAGAAGTTTCACTTCAGTAATAAAAAGGGCGTACCTAGTTCTTGTTTTAAAGGCCCATTATAATATAATTTACATTATATCAAGTTTTTTATCGCGTCTGACTGTCAAACTCCATAGAAAGAACAATGCCCACTGCCCATACATTCGAAAACCTGTCACTTCGGTTTTTTCTTTATGGATGTATATTGACTGTTGAGGTTGTTAACTAATTATTACAATCTTCTGAAATAATGTTGCTAATTTGGTTTGATTTGGCAATGAGGAATAGAAGTTATAACGAAAACTAATTCTGAGGTTATTCAACTGCTGAAGATGTCATTTACTTACTCTGTGGTTACGAGATTGATTATAG